CTTCTTATGCCCAGACCTCCATTCGATTTATCTCTGATTACTGTGTTCCAGTTTACGAGGTGACTGCTTCTCGCGCCCTCCGTGCCCCCCCATATGAATCTTCTGACTAACTTCTCTATCGAAGAGGTCACACCAGCCGGTAGAAGGGTCGATTGCATCATGTAGTAGGGGATTGTTGAAAGAACTGCCTTCGCAAGTGTAACTCTACCGGCTAAGGAAAGTGTACGGGATCTCCAGCCCGATAATCTTGATTGGACTCTCTCTATTAGGCTTGCAAATGTCTCATTTTTTAGCCTCCCATGAATGGAGGGAACACCTAAGTATTTGCCCATGTTCGACACCTTGGTGAAACCCGATATATGTTCTATCTCGTTTTGCAGGTCATCTTGAATGTTCTTCGAAAATAGGATAGAAGACTTTAGCAGGTTGACTTTTTGGCCCGAGCTGCAACAGAATCTTTCCAGGCAAGTCTTCATCTCTTCGGCTTGACGAGTTGTCGCCTCCCCAAACAGTACCATGTCATCTGCAAAGAATAAATGTGTAATATGAGGGGCACGATTATTGAATTTAAAGCCTTTCCACTTACCTGAAGCCACAGATTCGCTAATCAGATGGCTTAATCTTTCTAAACATAGGACGAATAAAAGAGGAGACATTGGGTCTCCCTGCCGAATTCCGCGTTCTGGTTTGAACCAATCAGATTGGTGGCCATTCCAAGTGGTTGACAGTCTTGAAGTAGTCACACAGGCCATAATATTCCTGACCCAAGTATTGTTAAGGCCAATGTCTTTTAATGTATCCTCGATGAAGTCCCAATTAAGTCTGTCATATGCTTTCTCCAAGTCGATCTTCATTATCATCCACCCCGTTGACCCTCTTTTGCATCTCATGGAATTGAGAACCTCTTGGAACACCAATATGTTATCAGTAATTTGCCGACCTGGGACGAAACTTGTCTGATGGGAACCAACCAGACTCTTGGAGATATCTTTAAGCCTAGACGCCATTACTTTAGTCAGAATTTTGTATGTGACGTTACATAACCCAATTGGGCGAAACTGATTAACTGTCTCCGGAGAAGGCACCTTGGGGATAAGTGTTAAAACTGTGTCGTTGCAGTAGTCTGGAAGCTCCCCTTTTTCAAAGAAGGTTTTGGCGAATTTGACAATGGACTCACCCACAATGTTCCAAGTATTCTGATAGAACGCAGCACTGAAACCGTCTGGGCCTGGAGCCTTGCAAGGCTCCATGCTGAACACTGCAGCCTTGACCTCCTCCATTGACCACAGCTTTTCGATCTCTGCCCAAACTGCCTCACTTATGGTGGGAAACTGGTTTCTGAGGCAATTATGGGCTAAGGGAGCTGCCTCTTTAGCGTAAAGGTTTACGTAGTACCTCTGAACGAGTTCAATAATCCTCCCCTCCTCTGTTATCCAATTACCTTCTTCGTCTTTTAGCGCATTAATCCTGCTATTGGATTCCTTAACCATCGTGGCCATGTGATAGAACCGGGTATTACGGTCCCCATCCGTTATCCACTCCTCCCTCGATCTTTGATACCATAGAAGTTCCTCTTGGTAAAGAGTTTCTTCAAGTTCCACTTGGAGTTTTCTCTCTAATCTCAACAGATTCGGGGTAGCTCTAATGCATAAACTGTGCTGTACTCCATTGATCCTAGCCAAAATGCGATCCTTTCTTTGAAATATGTTACCAAAGACACTCCTGTTCCATTCTTGAAGTGTTGTGGTCGTTATCCCCTTATTAGCCTCCAACTCCCCTCTCGGGTTCCACACTTGTCTTATAAGTTCCATAAAGTTCGGGTGCGTGGTCCATGCGTAGTTAAACCTAAAGTTTTTGCTGCTAATACAGGGTACATGCAGGTTAGTATTAATCAAAAGTGGAGAATGATCAGAGGATACCATCGGAAGATGTTCCACGTGCGAGTTCAGGAATCTTAATTTCCACTCTGTGTTAACAAGAGCTCTGTCTAGGCGGGCACCCTTGAAATTAGCCGTATTTACGCCCCTCATCCAAGTAAAACATGAGCCTCTGAAGCCTAAGTCAATCAACCCTTCCTGGAAGATCCAATCATTGAATTCCGTGCATCTGGCCGAATTAAAAGTCTCAGGGTTACTGACTTCTTCCTGAGAGGATACCATGTTGTAGTCACCTACTGACATCCATGGTCCTTGAATATCAAGGAGCTGGCTTGACAGGTCGGAAAACAGCCTCCTTCATAGTTGAAGATTGGGGCTGCCATAGACCACCGAGATAAACCATGGTTCCAAATTCTCTTCTCCTACCTGTAAAACAACAAACTGGGGATGAGTAAAAATAATGCTAACATCCAAGAACTCTCTCCAGAGGATCCAAATTCCTCCCGAGAAGCCAACCGCCTCTACTCTAATCCATTCGGGGAAGCCAAGTTCGTCACAAATAGTGTTCGCTTGGTCCCCCGACACCTTAGGCTCTAGTAAACAGACGATGGAAGGCTTATGCCTTCTAATAAACTGTTTTAGGGTGCGGCGAAAAGACCTTGACGCCGCCCCTTGGCAATTCCAAATCATATATATCATGACAACAAAAGTTTAAAACCACACACGCTCAGTAGCATCAACCAAACTATCTTCCCATTAATGGAGGGATATGGCTCTTAATTGCGCCTTACAACAACTGGTGAACCAGGGCCATTCCGGTCAGCACTGCCCCCCGCCACTTCCATGGTAATGTCTGGGGGCTCAGGTGGAATTTTCGGATGTTCTGCACAGATTTGCTGGGTACTACTCCCACCAACTTCGAACACTTCCATTGGTGCCACTTCCTCTTGGTTATTTGATCTAAAGACCATAGTATTTATAGTGTAACCGCCTCGAGTAGATCCCCGGACCACCGTGTGCTCTCTCTCAGCCGCAGCCCTCCTTGGTGTACCACCTCTTCCACTCCTACCCCTGATCGCGCCACGTTGTGCCTATGTGGGGCGAACATCGTTATTTGTTTGGATTGCAGGGATATGGTTCGCTCCCCCCGTCTGGATCCTCACATTAGATCCATTGGCTGGTTGTTTCGTCCTAACTCTTGGGAGGTTGGTGATTTCGGGTTGGTTGACAGTTCTCATATTCTGACTACCCTCCTTAGTGCTATCATCAGTGTTGATGGCCATACCCTCCGCCCCATCAAGCCCGTCTAAGGAGGCAAAACGGGACGGTATTCCCAGTCCTTGTTGGGGTTCCTCTGCCCTACCCGTAGCTTGTCTCCCGGCGTTCCGGCGGTTGTCCATCATCCTTGGGCCCCTCCTATCTTTTCTTGTAACTATCATCCAAGAACCATACTTGGCCGATAGATCCCTCACTTGTGGAGCCGGCTGGTTTCTAAGGGGATTCAAGTGTGTTTCTCCCTCTTCATTCTGGACGCCCTCTAGCACTTGGTCTTCGCCCCTTTCTCCAGCAGTCTTGGGGCATTGATTCTGTCTATGACCATATAATCCGCAGGTAAAACAAATCAAGTGTATCCCTTCGTACTCGATAGGTATGACTTCATCTTCCAGAGTGAACTTCGCAAGGAGTGGCTTTGTGATATCAATTTCCACGCATACTCGGGCAAATTTGCCAATGGAGATCAAGCTGGTTGTATAGTCTATTTTGATGGGACGGCCTATCCTTCTTGCAATCTTCTTCAAGAACTTATTATCAAAATATTCAACAGGCAGGGCCGGGAATCTTACCCAGACGAGGAGTTTCCCCGTTGTGTTCTTCGACGGATGAAAGTTGGGCTCCCACTCCTGAACGATCAAGTAATGGTCTAAAATCACCCACGGCCCTTTGTATTTCGCGAAGTCGTAGTCCCTCAGTGCATCGAACTTGGCTAAATAGTAATCTTGATCTAGTGCAATCAACTCAAAACCGGCCTCGGGTTTCCACATCTTCTGTAGCCTCTGTAGCAGATACGAGTAGCTTACTTTTCGGCCAAGAACCTTGCAGATTAGCGATCTACGCCATGGTTTCCTGAGTCTTTCTTTCTCTTTCTCTGTCACCGGTATCACCGGGTTGGTAGGATCCGAATCGGCTGTAGCCATTTCCTCCTCGTCAGATTCCTCTTCTTCATCGACCTGAACCCTGAATCCCTTTCGATACCAGGCTTGATTCGGCGTCCCATCTGGGGTTTTCCACTGGGCTGACCCCGGCGAAACCAAATCGGCGGCAGTAGTTGACTGTTGATTCCTCTCCTCTGGCGTTGGTAGGGGGTTAACTTCTGTATCGGTCCTACCTCTTTTCGACCTTCTAGTGTTGAGATTTTGCAGTTCTTAGCCTTCCGGCGACTGAGAGGTCGCCGTCGGCATGACGGAATCCGAGAGAGTTTCTTCGCTCTTTATTGATTTGCATTAATTAGTTCGCCCGTTATTTGGGCGTGTGATTGCGTTATTTTTTGTCTAATATCACTTTTCAATATTTTTAGCTTTATTAGTTTCTTCTCCGTCCAACCACGCTAGGGAAGCATTCCCCAGTGCCGCTCTTCCCGTTCCGTCCAGGTTGTCTCCATGGAGGGTTCTACCAACAGACATTCTAAGCGTCAAAGGGCAGTTTTTCCGATTCCCGTCAAGGTATTCCGAGTCCCCATTCTTTTGTGTTTGGGTTTCTTTGTATTTTTTTTTTGTTGCTTTGCTTTGTTGCGTTCTCTAGGGAGAGGACCAGGCCGGCGTGATTTTTTGGCGGCTTTATTTGGAGTGGTTCGGGTTGGGGGGTTTTTAGTCTGGGAGAGTTTTGGCAGTGATGGGCGCTGGGGTGGTTAGGGTTTCGGCTGAGGGTTTTTTTTCTTTATCTATTTGTATTTTTCAGGCGGGGTGGCGCGATTCTTTGGCTGTTTTGTGGGTGATTCGTGTACGGTGGTGGTGTGCGGTAGGGCGGGGTATGGTTCCTGCCGGAATTTTCAGTGGAATATGGATCAAAACTGTTATTGGTATAAAAATCGTGTGACCAAAAGTGGAAAACAAAATTAAAATTTATATGGAGAGCGCGTTTAAATCTGTTATCGGAAAGCTGCGCGGTGGCGTTTGGCCGGAAAAGATGGGGACTACTAATCCTAAATTGGAAGCACTGTTCGCGGACAAGAAGCGTGTGAGAAACCCTCTCGTTCCCCTCGGTGCACTTGTCAGTGCAGGAGTGCTCACAGCTGGATTGATTAGTTTCCGGCAAGGAAATTCTAATTTAGGTCAGAAGCTAATGAGGGCTCGTGTAGTTGCACAGGGCGCTACGGTGGCATTGATGGTTGGGACTGCTTACTACTATGGGGACAACCTCAAACATACTTAAAACTGTATGACTGTAAAAAGTAGCAATCTCTACAGCCTCATTTTTCATTCTCAAGACTTAATGCTTTTTACTACCAAGAAATGATCAGTTGATCACACACCTTGCTACAAAGGCATCTTTACCTCATTCAGCTCTTCCAAGTTCCACCATGAATGTTGTAAGTCAAAAACTCCTTTTTTTGTTTCCTGAACTGTTTAGATGCTTCATTCAATAAGCCAAGCAGTAGCCATTTTGTATAACAAATATGTATACAACTCATGTTTGATTGATTCTTGAGTTTCTTGATGTTCATCATCGAGATATACATGAACTCATTATTGTGAACTCTAATGTTCTTTCTTCTGAAGGGTTGAGCCATAGAGCTACTAACACTATGATCAATAATTCCATTTTGATGTGTTTTTTCTTCTCAAAAAAAAAAAATAAAATAAAATAAATTATAATTTGTATGCAAAAACTGTTTTTTATTGAACATCAATCTAGTATGTTTAGCGGCTTACATTCTTAAGTCATTACAGGCTTACAAAAGAGTTGGAAGCATGATTCACAATGGAGATAAAGGACGTGGAATAATTGGTGTTATCTAAGTTATGGATTTAATGGTACACTTGCTTTAAAGAATTTTGCTTCTAATTACTAGTTTGTTTGAGACGTTTACAAAATTATGGTTTTCATCTTGTGTCTTGATTCCTTTATGATGAACTTTAGGTCTATGCTGCTTTTGTGATGCTTTAGTTTCATAATCTCAGCCAAACTTGTATTGTTCTTAATATGAAACAAACTATAGTCAGTTTTGCTTTCAATTGTTTTCAAATGTAGGATTTTGGTTAAGTTCAAGTAACATATAATTCATTCTATGTTGTAGTCGTCTTTTAGAATGACTAAACAGAGATGGTCTGTTTCATATAATGAGGAGCAACTAATGCTCTTAATTCTGTATGTCTATTGGTACTTCAATCATTTATGATGGAAATGGATTTCTTGTTACTTTTTTTTTTTTTTCAAATTACATTCGAATACCAAAATTCTTAAATCATATTATTGTACAATTGGGTTCATAGAATGATGAGTTGGAATACATTGCATCTGAAACTGTTTTGAAGGATTTGCTTTTATTATGGCATGTGGAAGTTTTCGTAGGTGTGTGCGTTGTAGTAGTTTGGATTGTGCAAAGTACTGGATGTGTGCGTTGTAGGTGTTGGGTGTGTACGTAAGTGCATGATAACATTTCATATGTTTTTGTGCAATTGAATTATTTGTGTGTTGGTTTTTTTTTTCTGTGCACTAATTATGATTATTAGCATGTAACAATGTTGTAGAGACTGTAGATGTTGTGGTAGTTATGTTGTTAGTAGGCTGGAGAATGAATGGGGGAGATATTATAATTTTATAACTTCTGTCTTTGTGTCTGAAAGCCAGGGTCAGTAATTTTGTTTTATAAACTCAGGTATCCTTGGAGGAGCTTAGAATAGTTGGGCAAGTTGTTTCCCATGCATATGAGAGTACTAAATTGGCTATTTACAATCTTTTTAGAAATATTGAAGAGACTCTCTCCCTACTATTAAATGAAGGTGGATGGACTAAGTGGTCGAAGTTTTGCATATTTTGCATTCTAAACATTTTTTAGGCTCATAAACTTATCAGTCTAATGCACACTCTACTAGTAATTCATGCACACACCTCTGCGGTAAATTAAATAAACATTTTTAAGGCTCATAATCTTATCAGTCTAATGCACACGCTATCACACGAATTTGCACACACCTACGCTGCCAGAAATTTGCACACGTCATACCATATGAATGCACACACCACCGTAAAAGAAACAAAATAAACGACATAATGCAAAGTTCATTGCAATGCTAACGCACACGCACACGCCATCACTAATTCGTGCACACAACATGCTATAAATATGCACACACCAGATACCTTACGCGCACACACCACCGTTATATATTCATCTTGTTGACAAATTAAAAAAAAAAATAATAATAATAATAATAATAATAATAATAATAATAATAAACAAGACCTTCTAATGTTAAAATCTTTTTCTTTAAAAACATCCCACCAACATGAATTCACGCACACACCAAATACTAATCTCGAGTTTCAAAATAAAAAAGTTACAAAAGCAAACCCCCCCCCCCCCCCCCCTCCCCCACCCATTGAATTTGCACACGCGAAAACACATATACGCACACACTAACGTAGTATACGCCACGTGTCAGGAAAAAAAAAACTAGTTGCACTATTTAAGTTTTTTTTCTTCAAGAACAAACCCCCAATGTGTACGAACGCACACACCAACTAATAATCTTGAAAATCCTAAAAAAAATTACATAGAACCAAGTCCATACAAAATGCACACGCCTTCGTTCTTACTCGCACACACCACCGTAAAGAATTAGCAACAAAAAAAAATTACAGTTGCACGCATCAATTTTGTGACTATCCATTTTGCAAGTTCTAAATTGATGTCGTATTCAGTCAACTCTAGGCACATTTTTCTGTTCAACAGCTATGTACACATGTCATAACTATTTGTTGCCATTTATATTGTCCCTAATATCAAGCTAATGATTTCAATTTGATTCTCACCAAATTTAAACACATGACTAAAATTACTTGTTTATCCTTCTGATTTAAATATATCCTTAATTAATTTACATTTTTCTTTCAATCTTAACCATCTATTGACAATGAATTAATGGGTGTGATGAGATCTCGTGATTTCATGTACCATAGGGGTCTCACTGGTAATGCGCATTAAATTAAATCTAATCTAGACCATTAAAAAATATTATATGGATGCACATGATTTGTTCTCACGTTCTCACCTAAGCACATGTTCTCACTGGAATTTTACCGTGTATATATATATATATATATATATATATATATATATATATATATATATATATATATATATATATATGGAAACTAGACACCAATGGTACGTACTTATAACTAGGATAGACACCATTTTGGATAGGATTTTGCTGGTAATCTTTACTCTATTATATATTTTGCTTATTATGAGATTGAATCTCTTGTCTATTATACTATATATATATATATATATATATATATATACAGAGGCGGACCTACAGTGGGGGCAGTGGGGTCAGCTGCCCCCACTCACCCCACCCCCACCCTTTATATAACCCTTGTATGTATATGTGTATATATAGTACAAGTTTTAGTATAAGATTTAGAAAATAGAGAATTGTTAACAAAGTATGGCTTAGCCTAGTTGGCTGAGTGTGTGGTTTGTCTAAACGCAAGCCAGGGTTCGAATCCCCTCTATCTAGTTAGTTGAGCGTTGTATTTGTCTGAACACATGCCTGTATATTAATGATGAGATGTGTAATTTATAATGGATCTTTTATTCGAATTATTTTATCAAATTGATTATGTTCATATTTTGTTATGAATATTTTTATAATGTTTTGATGTTTTGATGTGTTTTATAATTTTCTTATATCCAACATTATTTAATTTATTTTATTTTATTTTTTTTGAATGTTACTGGCCCTATTACATTGTAGTATCTGTTCATATACTTTCTCAACCTACTGAAACACAAAGAACCAATAACGCCTCCACCAAGACTATGTGGTCTAATGGTACCCGGGTTGGACTTCCATTTGGAAGGTTAATTTATTTATGACTATACTTTTTAAGTGTTTCATTTTTTTTTTTTGAATTATCAATTTTGCTTTAATATTTTGCCCCCGCTGAAAAAAATTCCTGGGTCCGCCACTATATATATATATATATATATATATATATATATATATATATATATATATATATACTTACAATTCAATTCATGGTATACTATATCTCTCAATCATGCATGGTCAGAAATGCTATTACAATATTATACTAGATTATAATTGTATGTATTAGATCTTTGGATAGCCTTTCAGGATGCAATGTATATCATCTTTTTTTTATATCAATTGGAAGGGGATACCCAGAAGCTTATTACATCTTAGCAGTTTTGATTCGAGCACTCACGCCATCTTGGTATTCCAGAGGCGTCATCTGCTAGTAGGCCTAGTAATTCATTAGGTGGATCGGTTTTGATGTTTAAACCAAGAGGAAAACCTGCAGCTAGTTTCGCCAATGCATCAGCTACTTGGTTTTGGTCTCTAAGGATTGATGATATCTGCCATGCCTCAAGATTCCTTAATTCCTTTCTGCAAGCTTCTAGTATGTTATGAGCTGAGATTCTGGGCCTATCTTCACTATTCATGAATCTTACAACTTCTTCTGCGTCGCTCTCAAATATAGCTTTTGTAACTCCCATTGACACTGCCAGTTGGACTCCCTTTAGTAATGCCCATGCCTCAGCTTCAAGGGGGGAACAATTACCAATGCTATAGGTGAAACCATGCATCCATTCCCCTGAATTATTCCTAGCAACACCTCCACAGCTTGCTCTTCCATTTGATGGGTTTACTGATCCATCTACGTTCACCTTAACGAAGTCCTGTGGGGGTTTCGTCCATATCAGCTGCCTCCAAGCTAATTGCTCCTGAGGTTGATTTGTACCCTTTGCTTTTTGAAATGCTCTACCTATGTCTTCCAGCTGTGACTTGATCCAAGAAATTTTAACATGGAGAGGCTTCCTCAGATTGTTAAAGATTGCTTCATTCCTCCACCTCCATATCCACCATGCCGTTACTGCGAACTGAACGTTTATGTCGTAAGGATGTCTGTCGGTCCTTCTCCCCATTATCCCTTGTTCCAGCCAACTTTCAAAGGGGATTGTCATACCGTTTTGCTGCGAGTTGGGCATGAGGGCCGTCCAAACATCTTCTGCTTCTGGGCAAGTCCTAAGGACGTGCTCCACATCTTCCACTTTGTTGCCACAATGCCAGCACTTGTCATCTAGGGTGAAGTTTCTCTTTGCTCTGGCGCTGTTCGTCATGATTTTCCCATGGGCAACGAGCCATATGAAAGTTCTAATCCTATTGGGAACTTTC